GTTCCTCTTTTCTCCTAAGATTTGATCACATTAGATATAAGAATACACAAACTAATTTTAACCACAGGGCAGGTATTCTTTACCTAGTTAGTTAAATAGAAATTCTGTGGGTAACTGGAAATAAGGGCAAAAAAACTATTTTCAGAATGATTTCTGAGACTAGGAGTGGACAGCTGGATTCTGCAAGTGTGAGGCCAGTTGGATATCTGTTTCTTCACTAGAAAAGACATGAAAGAAGACCGTTTCCAAACTGTAGACTGACAAAGTGACCATGACCATGAGAGATGGCTTAAGTACAGACCTTTCTGAACTCAGAGCTATTTTGAAAAAGTAACTTTCCTTCTAGGTAAAATATGTATAGGAATCTATTTTCCGTGGTTATGTCATTTGCTCAGGAATTGAATACAATTTATTTTTTAAAAGAAATGGCAATGCAATGTCTCTATTACCTGATCCACTGTGAGCTACATAAGTTATTATCAAAATTTTAGAAAAATTACAGGCAGAGGGAGAAAACACTAAGGTCAATAACAAATGGACAGCTCACAGACTTGAGAAATTTGGACCTTGCTTGACCTGCTGGCTTCTTGACTGGAGGGAAATTACTTAGCCTTCCTTTAGCTTCTTAGCCTCAATCCCTTCTGATTTCAAACTGCCATCAATCTTTTAAGCCTTGGATTCCCCATTCCTCTCTATGTTTACCAAACAAATGGTACCTATCACATTCCAATTGTATTATTCATTTAACAAAAATTGATCGTGCCTAATTTCGGTTGTGCACTCCCTTAAACGCTGACTTTGCAAAGGTGATTCAGACAAGGCTCTTCAAAAGCATATTGTAGATGGGAGAATGAAACATAAAGAAAAGTACAATGAAGGTATGATTAGATGCTACAATACAGGTAACTACAGGATGCTACGAGCAGCTCAGCAGGTGTGACACTGGGCTGGATTTGGAAAGGATTAATCTCTGTCCATGAATGCCTTATTTCTTTTGCTGACTTGGAGGCAGGGGCCAAGCCTCATCATCTGTATTTCTCACAATGCCTTTTCCGTGGTAGGTGCCAAATAAATAAATTATATATGGGATGAATAAGTGAAAGAAATCCAAATTTGAAGCTCTTGATAAAGGAAAAATACATTCAGGTTTCAGAAATATAATAAAATTGTGTTCTGACAAAAGGGAAAAATTACTTCAAGTACTCAAATATGTGTTGGTAAAACAGTGAAATGACTTTAAACACTAATTTGAAAATAAGAGCCTCTGAGCCTCTTCTTTTGGTCCCCAGGAATCAGAATATTGTAATGCTGGGACTTCTCTGGTGGTCCACTGGCTAAGACACGGTGCTCCCAATGCAGGAGGCCCGGGTTTGATCCCTGGTCAGGGAACCAGATCTCACAAGCTGCAATTAAAGATCCCTTGTGCCGCAACTAAGACCCAGCATAGCTAAAAAAGTAAATAAAAATATTTTTAAAAAGAATACTGTAATGCTAAGAGTTGCCACTGAACAGGAAGAAAATCCATCATTTCCTTTCTCAATACTCCATGATACAGGTATTATCTTTCCTTTGACTGGAACAGGAAGATTAAGTCATTGGCTTCAAATCTTTCAGCCAGCATATAGTGAAGACTAGACTAGATTCCGACCCAGTCCTGCCTGACCCCAGAGCCATGCCCTTAGCTGCCAGATGACGCAGCTTCACAGCCTGGTTGCCCCCAGGAGTGAGTCGATAAAGATTCCATTATGCAGATAAGCACTGCACTGCAATTGACATGTGCCATTTTTTGAAGATCACAGAAGAGAGTAAAGAAAACCTTTTTGCCTTTCAGTCATTTAGACTGAAGAAAATTCTTGACTGACTTATTTTCAAAGACTCAAATATAAATTTCAACCATGAGTCTTCCAAGGGTTTGAATGCATATGTCAAAACATAAGGTGTTGCGCTCTCCGCCTGATGCTCTGTGATGACCTAGAGCAGTGGGATGGGGGCGGTGTTTAAAGGGAGGCTTAGGAGGGAGGGGATGTGCATATACCTATAGCTGATTCACACTGTTTACAGCAGAAACTCATACATGACACTGTAAAGCAATAATTCTCCAATTAAAACAAAATAAAAACATAAGGTGTACTCTGATTCTCCTTAGGTTGGATACCAAGGAATTAGAACCTGAATTCCCTTAGCACTGAGCATTTTCATCATGTTATTTTTTATTTCTTCCATTGGCACTCTTCTCACTAAAGCCACTTTTCTGGAAAACAACCAAGGAAACAGCCACCCCTAGAGTGTATGGTGGTTACGACCTCCATATCTGGAAAGTCCATCAGACTTGTGATATTTGCCTTTCACCTTAAGGCTGGTCATGTGATCTTCCTGTAAAGGAAGCCTGGAATAATCCACAGTCAGAAGATCTGGGAGGAACAAAGGGTGTCTTGAAGAAAAGGACAGGAGAGAGGAAATGGGCGACAGGAGAAAAAGAATGAAAAGGACAGAAGGTGAAGTGCTGTCCACAGGAACTTCCTAAATCATCACCTAAGCTTATCTCTAATGTTTACAATGTTGATTAAGATTCCTTTGCAACTCAGCAGCAGAAGAAAAAATATATACACAGATCCAAGCATGGAAAACTGACAGTCAGCTTGGAAAACACAAGAATTCATCCTGAATTACCCAGCGAAGGGGCAACTGACCATCTGAGGCCAGACTACGTTATGACAGAGATGCAAGAGACGGGAGGTTGGAGACTGAAGTCACTCGGCCAAATTCAGTACTCCCTGTCTTCTGACACCATCCCATCGCCCTTTACAACCTTCTGGTTAGTTTTAGGATCACCATGTAACAACTTTCCCCAAAGCCATCATCATCATGGTAGGAGAGAGAATTATGACATCACAAATAATAATAGTACAGTAATAACTGAAATTCTTTAATTAAAAATATACCATTTTTGACAGGATAATTTCTATATATCTCAGAAAAAATATACATATATCAGCCTTCCTCACTCATCACATAATCAACTTTCTAGCCTCCTTTACCCAGGCTCCCATCCCTATGGTCTCAGGCACACACACTCCCTCACCAAATCCCTGATACCGCATACAGAGACCACACTGCCTGCTCTACAGGCCATGGTCTGCAACTTATAGACCAGAGGAATAAACAAGGATTCAGACTTCACTGAATTCAAATTCCAGCTTTTCCTTAGCAAACTGTATAACCATAACTTCCCTGAGTTTCCTCAATCTGAACAGCACTGGATAAAGTATGATGCCTCACATATTAAGACACAGAGAGAGGCACAAATTCCATTAATTAAATGGACAGTGACCCAACTATCAGTAGAAAATAGGGATATCTTTATTTTCAGTCAATTATATCTCAATAAAACTGGGGGAGGGAGGTTACATAAATGATAAATAGAAATAAAATAATCTAGAGGCATTCTCTATATACACTTGAAGCCAGCCATCCTCTTCTTAGTGAAGAATTCATCTGCTCCTCTCCATATCAACCTAGATTCTTCTTTCTCTTCTTCTGGGCCTACTGCCTCTTGGGATGTGAACATGTCAACATACAGTTCATAAGGCATATTTCACATGTTTTAGGCACTCTGATAAAGATTTCATAAAAGAGAAGGTTTCATTTAAAGGCTCAAATGAACTGAGCTTAAAGCGTAAAAAACTGAGGCCAACGCCAATCACCATTCCCACAGATGATAAAAAGCTGAGTTAGACATCACTTTCGTAACTAACTGGCAAGAGAGCAGACTTAAAAACACAGAACTTGTCTCTACCTGGAGTGTCAAAATCAATACCTGCCTGCTCTCAACCCTGACCACAAGTATTGCTAAATGTTCTCCACTTCCATTACTGTGGTCTCCATCCTCAGATGGAGGCACCAATCTGTGGGCTACAGAGGAGCTCCCGTCTCCTGTGACCCTAAACCCATGCTGTCCCCTGAAAAGTAATTGCACACAGTCAAGAAACAAAAACACCCTGAGCCACTGTCGGGTGATAGCTGTGTGGCTGTCAAGATAACCTGAGAAAACAGGTAGCTGCTGACAGCAGAGAGCCAAGCATGCAGAAGAAAAACATCTCTGATAAGAAAAAAGAACAGAAAACAAGACCCTAACGTCAGCTTCTTAAGGTAAAGGGGTTTGTCACAAGTCTATCTGTCTGTGTGCTCTGTTTTAGCCCGAAAAAGTATTTATATTCATTCATTCATACACTCATTCTTTCACTGTGCCAAGCACTCAGTGATAAGGGGGTAGGCGTTAGCCGATACCATGCTTTACTCAGGTAAGATATACTTCTGCGTTGCCCGCATTTTAGATATATCTGTGGTTGAACCTGGGACGTTCTTATGGGGGAACTGCATATTCTCTGGTCTCTCTTCTCTCACTTCCTGTTCTCTTACTGTTGTTGCTAAAGAAGGCTGAGCCTTCAGGTCAGATCTTTTCTGCAATCTGCCTCCTCTCCCCAAGCCGACAAACAGATCTGTGACTATCCAGCAGTGGGCACAATCCACTCAACTGCTTTTTTTCCCCTTTAACCTGAAGGTCACTGTGCTTTCCCTCATGTTCATTAAAGAATGAGCTTTGCACAGGGAAGGAGAATCAGATGAAGGCAGGCAAAAGGCACCAACTTCCAGTTAGAAATAAGTACAAGGCACATAAAGTAAACATGACAAATATAATAACACTGCTGTATGTTACACAAGAAAGCTGTGAGGAGAGTAAATCTTAAGAGTTCTCATCACAGGAAAGAAAAAGTTGTTTTTTTATTTCTTTCATTTTGCATCTAAATGAGATGATGGATGTTCACTAAATTTTCTGTGAGAATCATTTTATGATGAATAGAAATCAAATCATTATTCTGTATACTTTAAACATACAGTGTTGTAGGCCAATCATATCTCAATAAAATTGGGAGAAAACGAAATTAAAAAAAAAAAACAAGAATGAGCTCGGCCGAGTGAAAATGGCACGATATTCGTACCTGGTCTCTCAGCCTCTCCTGGTGGCCCATGATGGCGGTGGCATGATGCGGGTATTTCTGCTTCAGATGTTCCAGGAAAGCTTCTCTCTTCCGGTCCATCTCCGACGTTTGCATTCCCAGGATTTCTTTGGAACTTCGAGGCCCACCTAGAGTGTGTCTCCTTGGGATGTTGCGGGAAGATCTGGAAGCTGAAACACGGCTGTTCCCATTAGAAAGACGCTCCTTGGTTCTGCGACATTCTGCATCTTCTAAGGATGTCACCTGCAGGTTGCTCTTTCCTTGTTCTGAGAAACAGAAAAGATACAGCTCAAAACTAAAGATTTCACACTAGAAGTCTCATTTACAGGACACCAAGTGCGTTTGTGGCAGCTGTTAATGTATGAGTGTAACTTAGCAGATTTGTGTGTGTGTGTGTACGTGTGTGTGCGCATGTGCACGCGCATGTGTGTACCTACACAGCAGCAGGAAAGAGGGTAAATCAACAACTAAAAGAAATATGAAAAACTGCACTTTAGAAATAAAGATATTGCAGCAAAAATGAAAAAAAAAATTCTACAATTTCTCTTTCCCTGAGGGTATTCAAAACCAAAACACCTGGTCAGACCAGTTTGTAGGCAAGATCTCCTGGAGAAAGGAATGGCAACCCTCTCCAGTATTCTCGCTTGGGAAAGCCCATGGACAGAGGAGCCTGGCGGGCTACGGTTCATGGAGCCGCAAAGAGTCGGACAGGACTGAGTGACTAACAACGTAACACAACCTGGGTTACCCTTCACTCTCATCTGTAGTTATGGAAAAGTTAACTTCAGTGACTATGATTATTTCTTTATTTTTAAACATAGTTTCATCCTAGTAACAGAACTTCTTACAATTTTATAATCTGAAGGCAGGGATCCTGCCTTCAAGCCAAGATTAAGGACAAACGATGAGACCTCTCTGAGCCTCACTGTTTTCATTAATAAATTAAGCATGGCTGAACTGGTATTAGATATGCAAATTTAAATCTTAGTTCCCTGACCAGGAATCAAACCTACAACCCCTGCAATTGAAGCATGGAATCTTAACCACTGTACTTACAGGGAAGTCTCTAGTTTTTTATTTTTAAAACGTTTATTATTATAAATAAACTCAATTATTTTTAAAAATAAATTTCCAATTTAAGAGGGTAGTTGCTAATTATTTATCTTCAAAAGTTAAGTACAGAAAATACATCCAATATTTAAGAGTTCTAGAGCAGAGTCTCAGAGAACTAATTTTTTTTTAAGTCTTTATTGAATTTGTTATAGTATTGCTTCTGCTGTTTATGTTCTGGATTTTGGGCCATGAGGCATGTGGGGATCTTCGCTTACCGATCAGAGATAGAACCTGTACCCTCTGCACTGGAAGGTGAAATCCTAACCACTGGACCACCAATGAAGTCTCAAGAACTAAAACTTGATGCCAGTGACATAAACCAACAAGTGTTCAGAGTTCATACATAAACCAACTCCTCCAAAGGCAGTGCCATCAACACGGTTTTTCTCTTCTTTACCTGCTGCTGCTGCTAAGTTGCTTCAGTCGTGTCCGACTCTGCATGACCCCATAGATGGCAGCCCACCAGGATCCGCCGTCCCTGGGATTCTCCAGGCAAGAACACTGGAGTGGGTTGCCATTTCCTTCTCCAATGCATGAAAGTGAAAAATGAAAGTGAAGTTGCTCAGTCGTGTCCGACTCGTAGCAACCCCATGGACTGCAGCCTATGAGGCTCCTCCGTCCATGGGACTTTCCAGGCAAGGGTACTGGCGTGGGTTGCCAATTGCCTTCTCCGCTTCTTTACCTAGAAATACCTACACCTAGAACTGTAGGTGCAACACCTGTTGGTCAGACACAGAAAATATTGTAAACATGGGCTCATTTCCCTGCTCCAGTTTTTCACCCCTAGGTGAGTGTTCTGGGAGTAATTCTTCTTGTTTATCCTTCACTTCTCATTACATGGCTAATTATAGCATCTCCATCAGACCATCAGACACTGATGAGGAAAGAGAAGGAAAAAACAGCCCAATTAGTTCATTCTACTATTCATTAACTTCAACAGTACCTTTAGAAGGGGGAGAAGATAGAACTATTGGTTTAAAAGATACTGAGAAAAATAAAGAAAAAGGCTCTGGGAGGCAGACATAGAGAACGAACATGTGGGCATGGTGCAGGGGAAGGAGAGGGTGGGACGAACTGGGAGGTTAGCACTGACATATATATATTACCATGTGTAAAACAGATAGCTAGTGGGAAGCTACTGTATAGCCCAGAGAGCCCAGTCTGATGATCTGATGACCTAGAGGGGTGGGATGGGGTGGGGGGGTAGAAAGGAGGTCCAAGAGAGGGGATATATGTATACATATTGCTGACTCACTTGGTTGCAAAGCAGAAACACAACACTGTAAAGAATTATCCTCCAGTAAAAATTTTTTAAATAAATAAAATAAGAAGTCTCTCAGACCCAGCATGAAATAAGAGAAGCCCAAATCACTCTTGAAATCATGGAACTGACATCTGGAAGAATGGGTGGAAACTGTTTCCTTTTCTTCCAAAGATGACAGGAGAAATCGTCCACTGAAAATCGCCTTCAGCATGGGAGTCCCTCAAGTTACACACAATTACTGAGTGAAGTCTTTTTCAGGCAGGGAAGGGATGATGGTAGGAATTAAAACCCCTGAGTTCTAGCCCTCCTCCACTCTTTACTATACATATGGTTTCAGTCAAACCAACTACTGTCAGATCTCTGTCTTGATTCCCTACCTACAAAATGGAGAGCTCAATAATACTACCTGTGTTACCAATACTGAGGACCAATAAAAAAACTGTGAGAAGTTGATTGTCACTATTATGAGTTTTCATGCATGTGTTTTCTTTTGAATTTCCCTTAGCACCCAGCCCACGCTAATCATTAGTTGTTGTTTGGTCGCTAAGTCATGTCCAACTCTTTTGTGACTGCCATGGACTGTAGCATGCCGTGCCACTCCCCCTCCACACCACCCCCGGCGCCCCGGCCCCCCGGCCACGGCTCCTCTGTCCATGAGATTTCCCAGGCAAGAATACTAGAGTAGGTTGCCATTTCCTTCTCCAGGGAATTTTCCTAACCTGGGGACTGAACCCTGATCTCCTGAATTGGCAGGGTTCTTTACCACTGAGCCATCAGGAAAGCCCCAAAAAATCATTAGTAAGGATCCAATAAATACGTCTGAGTGAGTTGGGAAAAAAAAAAAAAACAGATTTGGGGAAATTAATTCCACTTATTTACTCTACCTTTTCATCATATAGGGGCTTCCCAGGTGGCTCAATGGTCTAGAATCTGCCAGCCACTGCAGGAGACGCAGGTTCGATCTCTGGGTGGGGAAGATCCCCGGGAGGAGGAAATGGCAACCCATGCCTCTGGTGATGGCTACCTTGTCTGTGGTCTCTTCTCTAAAGACACAGAGGTAACAGGAGCTATTGAATAAAGACAGGTGTGGAAAATGTTGCACCTCAGGTTGGGATATATGTGGGCAATCTGCAAAGATTTAAACTTATGCTTTTAAGTATGTGCACATGAGTTTTGCATTAGTCAAATTTTTGAGTACTTGATATAACAGAGTTGACTTCTAAATGGATTTTTACAGTTACTTTTGAGGGGGGGGGGGGGCCTGTGCAGTGTGACACTCAGGATCTCAGTTCCCTGATCAGGAATCAAACCTGTGCCCCCTGCAGTGGAATGGCAGAATCCTAACCACTGGATTGCCAGGGAATTCCCTTGATTACTTGTGACATCATGAAAATAATATATTTTAAAAGTTATCCTGGACAGCTAGATTAATTAGCAAAATGGAATCTCTGAAAAGGTGATTTCTTCACGTGGATGTAACACACAAATATACACATCCACCCAGGAGGACACACACTCATGTTCCTCAACTACCAACAAGGGCAGAAAGTTCTACTGGGCCTTGCTCTGCCACATGAACTCACAAGAACTATCCTATTTCATCTCAGGATCCTCAGAAGAGGTCAAGACAGCCAGAGCAGCAGCCCCTTGGAGACTGAAAAGTTTCCCACGTTCTTTGAAATAAACTGGGAAAGGAGGAAGGAGAGAGAGAGTTGGAGTTCAGGGTCATCTGTCAACATCCACCTTGGAGCAGCCCCACCTCGCTGACCCTCCAACCACAACCCTTTTCACACCTGGCACTAAGGAGGTCACATCCATCTTAGGTTGTGTGCTAAGTCACTCAGTTGTGTTCCACTCTTTACAACCACATGGTCTGTAGCCCGCCAGGCTACTCTGTCCATGGGATTCTCCAGGCAAGAATACTAGACTGGGTTGCCATTTCCTTCTCCAGGGGGATCTTTCCAACCCAGGGATCGAACCCAGGTCTCCTGCACTGGCAGGTGGGTTCTTTACCACTAGTGCCACCCGGGAAGCCCCCCACCTTAGGTTACTTTTCCATTTTTTACTGTCTTGTGGATGCTTCTAAAATGTCTCCAGGTGCTTACGGAGGTTTAATGTAATGTGCAGGACAGCAGAAACAGACAGTAGATGCACCAGTGGCTAAATGCACTGGCTTCTCATTGCCCTGGGGACCCACTACCTCCCTCAGCCTCACCTGCCTGCCTGGCAGCTCACTGAGCTCTGGATCCCACCTGCTCACAGATCACCCTGCTCCACTTTCATAGCACCCGCAACAAACCAATGCGGCTCCTGCACAAAGCTGTACAACCCAGCTGTTCGACTCCTGCACAATGGGCTGTACAACCCATTCCCATCTACCGTGACCCTGGAGGGGTCACTGGAGCTTTTTCCTCTATGAGACGCAGTTCTTGGAAGCGATCGACTCCCACGCCCGAGGCAGAGGAGACGGCTCTCCCATTCCGGCCATGGGGGGAGAACAGGACCTTTTAGTTGAGGAAAAAACAATCAAAGGGGAGCAGGGAGGACTTGGAGTCACAATTCCACAGCCAGTGGAGTCTCACCAACTCCACTGTCCATGCAGACACACTGCCCGAGGCTTGGAAACAGAAGCTCAGTTCTGGCCCTTGTCTGGAAGGCACTTTGGTGCTAACATTTGAGCCTGGGTGTGTCGGGCTGTTTGCTATTTTGGGAATCAGTGTCAAACAAATAATGAAGCTGGAGTCTGAAGACAAGGTTTCCAGTTTTCCCCTTCCTGCCCCTCCCAGCCTCTGTTGGCCCAGAGCAACCCCTCCCGCAGGGCAAAGAGCAAGATGGGAGCTTCCAGGGGAGAATGGTCCCCAGCAACCTTCCCCGGAGCAGGAGTGGGGG